CCTCTTCAAGCTTATTCAACTTGTTTGTTATTTGCTCCAAAACTTAATAAAATTCTCCCTTTTTTCTATAAGGAACAAATTATGCCTGGAACCGATTCCAATATGAAACAATAAATTACTACAGATTTTCCAAATGCCAAAAAATTATCTATAAACCAACAAACAGCCTGAAATGGACAAATAAAGAATAAGAAGAAGAATACACCATCAGCGTGAAATTAAAATTTGCTATGATTACACATCTGCTCAAGGAATAATTCACAATGCAAAGGAAACAGTGGCAATTGACCTACTTATATAATAGGGAAACATGGTAAACAGATACAGAAATAAACCACATTATAGAATCACCAGCAGATCTTAAATCTAACCACCATCCACGGTAATGAAATCCAAATTATTTGATAGCAAATGTGGGGTTACCTAAAGTTATACAGAATATACTAAACAAAATTTACTACATGTCTGCATTTTCCAACAACAAATCTTCCATGAGGAACTGCAAAGAAACATATCAACTCTTTTACTTACTTCGAAAGGACGGAATTTATTCAGATTTGAAGCTCGGATACAAACAATGTTAAACTGCAAACAAAATAGGAAACCTGTGATACGAGAGATTTGCCAAGATTTCTGGGAAAGCAGATGCATACGGTATCCCCATTTTATGCCACTTGAATGGCCGCAAATCCCAGCATCAACTTTATACATATGGAAGCAAGGAATGATGCTTCAATTTTTGGCCCTGGAATATGCATGGGACTGATTAATAATATCCTCAAAAAGGATCTTCATATGCTGCCAAATTTTTTATAGGCAGCAAAATTCTGCCAATAAATACATAGTTAAAACCATTAGTAACATTGGGAAGTTGTGCAGAATTAGAGCTTATATACGAAGATTCACAGAAAACGTAGATAAGACTTAAAGTTTCAAGTCCCAAGTTATAACCACCATTTCATATAGCTAAGCAACATTCCAAATTACATCTGAAGGTACAACCTACTGTACAAACCAAAATAATCAGATAAAACATTTCCAGGCTTATCCTTCAACTATTTGTATCAGTTAATCTTCAACTACAGCCTACATTAATGGGCATGTGCCCTCCTTCAAATACTTTGGCATCTAGTCTGCAAAAGCTCTTCGTACAATCATTTAAAAGGTACGAAAGAACTTTAACACACATTTCAATGAAGGATACAGTGTATTATCACTCCTATACCTGCTGTTGCTAAAACATCATTCACATCTCGTATATTTTGTGTTACATGATGTTTTTGCCTCTAAAATAGATATTTTTAGTGTGCAATGTATTCCTATACTGCATATAGGAATCACAAGATAAAAGTGAACTGAAGAAAACCCTGACCGCACAAGGACAGGAATCAGTACAGTCATTCACCATGATATGTTGATACATGTTTCCAATATAAAAAAATATATACAAGATCCCATACTACAAAAGTGAACAGTTAGAAAAACTGTATTTAACTGAACCTCCGAAGTTACAAAACATAACATCACATCTAGCTTTTTACAATTCTGTTAGCAACAGCAACCTAAAATAGAGAAGAAAAGAAAGACAAATATTACAGCTGCTATTTGATATAATATGAACCTTTAGAAGAAATTAGGTTCTTTAGCTCCATCAAATGTTCATCATTTGAAATATGCAGTGTTATACGAAGATCAGTTAATAATGCTTCTTTTTCCCAAGTTAATGGTCCATAAGCATATAATGCCACCAGGGTGCAGTGATAAGCATGCAACTCTAATCTATGAACACTTGTTGCCAATTCCTCTCCTGGAGGATTATTGAGACTTTTCTCCTTATATCCTGAAGGACCTGAACCACAAACTGACTCCGCATCACTACAAAGGCCACCTGAAACTCGACGTGAAATTTGTGGAAGATGACCTAATAATTCGTTTGGTCTCTCACTAGTGACACTACAACTACCAACAGAGCAGGCATCACTATCGGAATCGCTAAGTTCCAAACTTCTCCTAGGGAAAAAGCCAATGACACCACCTAAATCTTCTCTCTCCAATTCATTAAATCCATTTGATCTAATGTTAACGGAAGTATGCACGTATTTTTCACCCAGAGTTCCTCTTGGGTAAGCAACAGCATCTACCTTTTCCTGTAAGGTCACTAGAGCTGCTCGTTGCCTGCGATTATCTGTCTCGATTGCTTGAAATTTCTGAGCATTCCCATAAAGTGAATCAACACCAGATGTGCAATAAGGAGACATTCTCTTTAGGGATCTTGATGAGATTAAACAAGACTCTTGTCCTCTATTTTTCCCTTCAGTGGCTAAACCATCAGTTTCTCCAAGAACTTTAGTATGTGCATCAAGTTGCAGCGGCTGCGACTTCATCTTCTGACTATAATCTTGAGCTGAAATTTTGTTAGATCTCTGGGTCCCAGCTTGATCACAACCCTGCAAAAGAAAACAATAGTGAGATCAGGGAAGGCAAGGAAGAAATAGATTCTGAATTTTTTATACAAATTATTGAAAGATACACCATATGCATAAAATAAAAAATTCACCTGCTTATTACTATAAGCACATCAAATACAATACTGTGTAAGGACAACTAAACAGACATTCAAAAGTGTTCCCTCTTTGCATAGACGTTACCGAAACTGCCATCAATTAGAATAATAATTTTATAATTTGATATGATGCATATAATCTAGAACACTTAACCACCAGGGTCAAACCCACTGCCCATATTATTCAAGCTACACGGACTATACCTTGTCCAGTCCCTTTTTGCTACAGAGACCGAATGCATAGAGACACATATACACAAATGTTCTCACAAAAAGATCTACTTAAAAACATATATGGACTCAAACAAAACATAATGGATCTGAAGTAGACAGCAATACAAAATAATCCTGTCAAATGAACTTTTTCTAATTAAAAACAAAGGCAGGGAAAAGAGCAGATAAATGATGAGAGAAACTCCAAGTTATTACAAACTTTTATAACAAGCTTATTCTCCGTAAAGCCAAACATAATAATAAAATGAAAAAGAATATGTACCTTTCTGATAAAAATCCATTTGCCATCTTTCCAATTTTGTCTATCTCTCATGCCTGATTTATGAATGCTAAGTTCCAGCGAGCAACCAAGTAGTCTCGCCAAATAACGATCACGTGGTAAAATACTGAGCACGATGGCAACTTTCCAAGAGCAGTCATTATATACCTCCACAATGTCCCCAGGTGCCCAAGTCTCCACACACTGCACTACAGGGGGGCAGGGCCTTATCATTTTCCTTGATACCCTTTCTTCGATATTTTCACTTTGCATTGGTGAACCAGATCCATATCTGACACTGGAAGTGTGGCCATTACCAGACACTATCTCGGCAGCGCGCCATGAGATTGGTACCTCAGCTCTGTTCATTACTTCCACCTTATCACCCTTTTTGAACCTCATTTGATCAAAATCTCTTTCCAACAGCCACAATCTGTGATAAGACAAAAAGATATAATACTAAGCAAAATTCTGTAAAAAGATTCCAATACAACATAAGCACTGAAAATTAAGTTCAATAGACCAGTGGAGAACATGTTTGAATTCCAGTCGAAAACTCTATTACGATAACTGTTCACGCATTATACCAAAAATCAGCAAACCGGTAGGCTAAATATCTCAAAACCTAATGTCAAAAAACTTATGTACAACCCTCCTTCATATACAAAAAGGATAAGTTAAAATAGACAAAACCAAAGTTGACCATAGACCCCGAACTAAAAAGCAGCCTTCACAACATCACAATTACCTGAAAAAATCGTTTAATATGCCAACTTGCGTACAAATTAATTGCAATACTGAACCAAGTTGCACAACTGTTAAATCATTAGCTCAATATCTTTTTGGATTTTCGAGATTTAAGGATTTTTATTGCTGTTTCCCGAAGAAATTAGATTGATTATCAAATAAGGAAAATGATCCCAATAAATTCATTAAAAAAAACAATAAAAATTAGAAAAAAAATTCTCGTAATTGGCTTAAAGCTGTGATTAGCAATAAATAAATTCGATGAAATTCCCTAGAAGAAAAAAAAATGAAAATATTCAGACAAAATCTCATAGGAGTCGTGAACTGAAGTTATGAAATTTCAAACCCTGAAAAATACACAATAAAAGAAATATTTAATTAGATTCGGAGCATGATTAGCACAAAAAATTCTATGAAATTCCTAAAACTTATACAAATAGAAATTTCGATAAGATCAAATAGAAGTAATAGGCTGAATATTGCGGAAATTAACACCCTACACAATGAGGGGGAGGAACTTTTTAACAAATAAAGAAAAAAAAAACATTAAACGCCCAAATATTTTAAGAAAATTCAGTTAAGCACAGAAATAATCTATTCAATTTAAGGTAAATAAAAACCCAAAATGAAGTAAAACATTCAATACGTTCCCAAAATCGAAGAATTAAGGTTACAAAAGCCCAAAAATTACAAGGTAATAAGCTAAGAAAACGCACCTTTCTCGAAGAATTGATGAAATAGCTATCTAATTCAAGTGTTTGCGAGTATTCTGGATTGTAATTGCTCCCCGAGAACACAAAGCTTTTAGAAATTAGAATGGGATATTACGATTCTAGGGTTTTGAAATATATTTTGGGGGTCGAGGGGAAAGGGTAGATCAGTGAATAAATATTGGGGTGAGGGTACTTTGGGAAGATCAGCCAAATAGAGCGTGTTTTCACTTGCCTCTCCTTTGTTAATTCTCTTCTTTTTCCTTCTTGCTAGCGGTTTTGAATCTATCTATACTATATTAAAAGTCCGTAGTCAAATATCATTCACTTTTTTATCCTTTAAAAATAAAGTTCACACTAAATAAAATAGTTATTTGACTATTTTTCTAATATTTGAAATTATTTATTTGATTAATTTCCTAATATTTAGGAGTAGTTAATGAATTATTTTCCTAATATTTAGAGCTTTGATATTTGAATTTCCTTCCATTCTAGGAGTTTAATGACGACATTCTAAGAATAGTCAAAAAAGATATGCATTCTATTTTTTCGGTCATAATTTTATGTGATTTTCAATCCCCTCAATTGGAAAGTTTCGTTCTTTTTCAAACCTTTAAAAATATATTATATATTAGACAAAATAGTAATTTAGTTATTTCCTAATTTTAAGGACTTTAAAATTATCTAAGATTTTTATTATTAAGTTTTTCCTTATTTAAAATATGTATCTTTTTGTATAGAACTAAATCTCTTTTTATAAAAAAAAACTACCTATATTTAGGAGTTTGAGATCATTAATGAATCTCACTTTTATTTTCAAACAATGTTCAACGTTAAAGTCTTTATGAATGGAAACAAGTTTAAAGCCTACGAACACTCAATTATGTCTTCTAAAAATCCTACCAAATCTGGTGGCTTTGTGTTCACCTATATACAAAATTCACCGAAGGAAAATTTTTTCTTTTTCCATTGATTCCACCAAATGACTTAATGTAATTTTTCATATAGTAAGTTATTTGTATTAATTTATAAATCTTTGAAAAATTATGACAAATGCATATGAAGTAACAAATATCCATAATTTAAGATTTAATATTAGGTCATACAAATAATAACATTTTTCAAAAGATATAGTTAAAGGACATTCTTTTCAAGTTCATGCAAAATCGATAGATCAAAATCCTTATATAAAATTGCACGATCTTTTAACCTTAAAAACAAACACGCATTCTTTAACATTAATGTATAAAAAAATAAATACATATTATACTCTTTAAATCAATATCAAATTCTAGAAATACTTAATTAATAAAAGGATACTTGACAATTGCACGTCAAGTTCAAATGATACATCTAATTTTAGAGCAGACAAAGATATTATTATTACATCCCTATCATTTAATTTATGTATATCAAGTATACTCATTATCATTATTTAACTTTTCCCTTATACTTCAAAGTTTTTAATTAATTAAATTTTATGCATTAAATCCTTCACTATTTGAATTGTATTTAAATTTTTAATATTGTACATATTATACGAATTCTTATTTTATTTAAATTATGTAAATTTTTATTTTATAACTCCAACATAATTTTAATAGAATATTTATATAATTATTTTAAATATATTTACACATCGAGATGGAGTACACGCGCAATGTGCGTACCCTAAGACTAGTTGAATATAAAAGTTTAACTTACCTTTTGAATCTAATTAATTATTAAAACAAAGTCAGCATATTCTTTAAGAGATTTTTCACAATATTGTTTCTTACAAAATTTATAGAATGCAGAATTTCATCACATTTAAAGCAAATTTTAATTCACAAACTAAGTCGTGTATCATCGTAATCACATATAGCAAAGAAAAAAAATAAAACTCAAAACGTAAAAAGTATGCACAAAATACGAAATATTAAAGATACATACCTAAAGAAATATCCAACATCAATTTCAATGCTAGTTACAATAGCATAGACTTCGAACGACTTCCTCCCATTTAATACGTACTTTTGTTATTCTTGTGACCAGCCTTACACTCAATCGTGCGCCTTAAAAAATACACTTTTTCTCTTGCATTCTTGCTCTAGGCAAAGCATAATCATAATTTCATATATCCTCATTTTCCCCAAAGATATTGTACTTGCCAGCCTCAATATTAGGCGGGCCAAATAATTGATTAATGGTATTGCAGTCAAATTGAGCAAAGGTCTGAATTCATTATGCTCATATACATTCTTATAAAATTCTTCCACAAAGAGCATTACAATTGATTCATGCTCTATGGAAAAAATTATGCATTTTCTCTTTACGATACTTCTCCTAATTATATATATATCATTCCTGAGTCTAAAATATAATATATATTTTTCAAGCCTCATTAAGGTAAGAGGGGTTTGGCAAAACCCTATCAATGTATTGATAACCGAACAATCGTACAAAAGAGAGGGTGACATGTTGCCTAACCTCTTGATCCTAAATGTGTAATATACAACATCATTCCAGTATAAAATTATATAGAAACCTAGGATCCTATCCATGACAAAAAGGTAGTGCAATCTAAACTATGACTATGCTTAAAATGAAATAAGGGAGAGTCCTCTTTAACAAGATATAGCATTGAAGCTTTCAAACAATAACCTAAGATATGAGGATTATCCATAAACAGCGTAGCTCTTTTTCTTTGGCTTGATTCTGAAAGTAAGACTGTTGTTTTGATCCATCTTCATCATGGCTTTAACCTCACTGGGCAGAGATAACGCCGTAGGTAAAGATAGTTCTATTTTTATTAATCACCCCCAAATTAGCCAATGATCAACAATCATGTTGGATTCCCTATAGCATTGGTCAATAACAAAATGTCCTTGGATTATCATTTATCTATATCTATACTATATTAAAAACAGGAAGGCCCTTAGCGAAATGTCGTTCGTCTTTTTTATACTTTTAAAATAGAGTTCATATTGGATAAAATAGTAATTTGATTATTTTCTTTAATTATTACCCTAATATTTAGGAATAGTCATTTAATTATCACTAATATTTATAGAAGGAGCACTAGGTATCAATGTATTTGCAATTCAAGAGTTCTCTAATTTCATGTCTTCTTTTTTCCTACAAGTAGCTGCAAACGAATTTACTGGGTTTGCAAATGGATAGATGACAATTTACTGGAATGGAGCTTTGCGTCTTGATTTATGCTTATTTGCAGAGATTATAATATTGACGAGACAAGTTAATTGATGAGGCGTATAAAGTTAATTAAAAGCTGCTTTTGTTAACTTGTTTTCTAGATTTTAAATTTTTTATTTGTTCAAATCGGACTCTTTATTACATTAGATTTTAGTTTAGTTTCTACTTATTCTATCGAATATTTCCGAAGGGAAAAGTTTCATTATCAAAATAAAATAAAAAACCTCAAAATGGCTTGTCTTAAAATTTTCTATATTCGTTATTGGTCTTATGCCATTATTTAATTGGTGTTTATTAGAAACGCATGATCGATCATTGTACTGTTGTGATCGGGATATGTTAAGATGCCAATTTGGAGGTACTAATCTATCTTTGATAGTACTCTTTTTGTTTACGATTTGATGTACTCAAGAAATATTTTGTTGCGAATTTCAGTGCATATTTATCTAACACAATATCTATGAGTATATTACTCTCTAACTTCGATTTTTTATTTAGTCTTGCTTGCTTGGATTTTGAAAGATGTTTTAACTTTTGTATTTTATTTTATAACTTGACCATAATTTTACATATATGATAGTTAAGTATTAATTAAAAAATTATACTCATTGATGCGGAGTATATTCACAAAGCTCGGAGTATATTTAACTTGTGTCTACAGAAGGCGGAGTATACGAGTATACTCATTGGTTAATAACAAAGTGTCCTTGGATTATCATTTTTCTAGTAATGGTAATAATCTCCACCAATTGCCAGCTTAATTTAATTTTTCTTTTGACCATGTTCATAATTAAGATATAGTCAGATGCAAGTTCAACTTGAACTCTGTGAATTGATTTTGGATACACTAACTGATCCCATATAGCAGGGCATTGGCCTCAGAAATAATCTAAAAAGGCCATCATCATATCTCTTCTATGATTTCTTGTGACCCTTCCACCTCCTGCTTGTCCTGGATTGCCCTTAGAGCAACCATCAATATTCAACTTAAGCTCAAAAAATTCTGGTTTATCCCATTTAAGCCTTTTAATCAAAAGGCTCTGTTTAACTTTCTTCGCAGTTGCACTAACCTCCAACCATCTCCCACTAAAAGATATACTAGTTGATTTGATCAATAACATACCTGTAGGAAATATTGGTGTCCTCATATTTAGCTGAACGTCTGGATTTCCCAACATACTATAGATGGCAGGGCAGGCATTGGAACATTACTTCTTGAACCTTGTTCATAGGCTTCTGTAGCCACCAAACCTTGATCCTATGTCGAAGAATAGGGCTTAATTTCACAGCACAAATGTTGCAAAAGAATCTTCACACAGTTGTTGCAATTTCATTGTCCCCAAATACATGACCCAACGTCTCTTCTTTAGGTTCTCTACAACAACAACATCTAGAAGGACCATGTATGTTTAACCTTATCATGGTATTGTCAGTTGACAATCTAATCTTGAATTCTACTATTATAGTCTTTTACCTATAGAACTGACATATTTGCTTAAAAATTAACATACAAATGATTTTTCGCTATAACCATGGTTTTTGCTAAATTTTCGATGAGAACTATCAAAATTTTAAATATTTTTTTTTAAATTTTATTAATCTTGTAATGAATGTTGTCAGAGAGTTTGGTCAAAATAATTTTTGACTTGTCTCTGATGTCGTCACTGGCAAGAGTTGTCGTAGAGTTAAAATTACGAATTCTCCGCAAAAAATTTTACGGTCCGTCAAAAAGGACAAACATCTAAGTTGTTTATATATACTTATCGGTTCATCCAAGAAAATACAAACACTTCACTATCCAAATAATTTTCAAACTTATAAATTCCTGATTATGTGAGTGTAAAACTCCTTTAAGAGTGGATGTTTCACTTTAAACTTCCGAATTATTCCGAAACAAAATATTTTTCCTTCTAAGGATATCCAAAATCAACTAACATAGTTCATCAAACT